CTCCGAGTTAGCCCAGCGCTGCAATGCAAGGTTAACCTCCGAATCTACGTTTCAAGCCCATTTCATTCCTCTCGGGCGCGCTAAGCACGCAAGAGTAGCCCACGTGGCAGTTCCACCCTAGAGCAGTACCGAGTTTGCAAACCTGGCCCTTGCGAGTGCTCAAAAATCAAGTACTTGGTATAATACAACTGACGACGCAATAAAAGACAACTTCATCAAATGCATTGGTGAGCGCCAAATATAAATGGCAACTAACACAACGGAAGAGTAATGTGGTAACATAGCCACATCACGGAGTTTGGTGCGGGAACGTCAAGTGAAACAAACCACCCTTTCGTCTTCAACGAAGTGCGTGAAATCGACACCAACGGAGCGATAAAGAAGGTTTGCGTTGCAGCAGACTTGACCATCGGCGCAAAGGGGCAAGGCGATGTGAACGAGTTAAATCTGGCGAAAAGCGGTCAAAACGAAAAACGACTAGCTGCGATTGATCAAACCGATAAACTTTGATAGGGGGTAAACACACCATTCATCCTAAAACCACACCTTGAGGCAACATGTCAAAACATTAGATGCTATAGGCCCCCGGGAGCAGTGGGGGAGATCCCTCCGTTCCTAGAGTGAAAAATCAATTCAGTTCTTCCTTTTTTGGTAACGTAAAGTGAGAATTCTCTCATAGACAGGCGGAGGGACCCCCTAAGAGTTACCGGGAGCCTGATGCTATCGATTACTACATCACCTTTCTCAAGTGGCTCACACATGCTTGAATTTCAAGCGTAACCGAGCTTGATAGCCGTTTACATGATGAGCGAATGTATTTCTTAGGCGAATTGCAGTTTAATTTTTTATTTGCACTCGAAACTTTCATAATTTACACGCTTACTATGTTTTATATGCAGACCGATAAGGCAAGAATGGGGACGAGTCGTGAAAGGCGCGATTCCGTCGATTTTACCATGGTAAGTATGTTCTTGTTTGGTTCATCACATACTCCGGTCCCACGCTTCGTGAGGGCTGAGCCAGGTTATCTGTTGGTCGAACCGATGTAAGCTCGGATGCCATCTGCTGAAGCTTATGCATCTGTATATTGATTGTATATCCAACCTTTCCCTCTAACTAGGCCCCTGTTAAGAAAGCGTGATACATTATTGTCCAAGATTCCGAAGCCATACAATACACGTTCAAAAGTGGTCAAGATAGACCTTTCGTCGCTGGACTGGCTACGAGCGATACCAGTACCTCCGTCGTGTCACCAATTAAGCAAACCCGCCCAGCGTCACCGCAATCATCGTCAACCACCAAGCTCGGAACAAGCTGCTGACGCCCTCCTCGTCGATCATCCTCCGTGCACAATCAGCCAGGCCAATATAAGGATCTTCCTCGCTCCTCAACGCGATCACGTCCTCTTCCTCTCCAATATAATCTGCCGCAGGATCGGCCATGCCGTCAATCGCACAATCAGCGTCCGTCGTAGGGTGGTTGCGTTGCACGCTCAGGCGGGTAGCGAGAACTTCGAGAGGGCATAGGATGGCTGTCGAGGCCACGCTGAAGAGCAGGAAGATGGTAAAGTTGGTCATATTAAGGAATTTGGTCATGCGGTTTTGGTCATCTGAATCATGGGCGCTTGAGAGACCGTCGGCGAGCTAAAGCGAGAAGTGTGATGGATTAGTCAGTGACGAGAGTTACGACATTATGACTTACGGATGGAAGGAGCATGGCGCGTACGACGCGCGCGATAGCGACGACCCACACGACAATCAACATCCTATTGCGACAGATTAGTTCAACTCTAAATAGTTACAATCGGTCTCACCTCGCAGCCAAAAGTCCTGGGGTCAAATACAGCACCCAAGGCTTACGAATCTCGTAAGGAGTTAGGATAATCCGCAGCGATTCCATAGGCCTGAACCACGGCAAACGGTGGGGAGTGCACACAGCCCTAGCGC